TATATTGAGTTCATCAGGAATAAACTAGTCACTGTTATTAATTAGATTGTGTTAGTCAGTAATTTATATTATGTAGTATAGATTATTATTGTCATGATTTAGAAGACTTTTGTTTGATAATTATATTTTTTTTCCTTGTAGGAAGAACAACCTCAGCCTAGAGATGCATGTGCTGTTTTAGAATTGCTGAGGAATAAAACTGTTGCTGCTGAATCTATTCCTATTCCTATTGATTCTATTCCTTTGGATTCTCCTACTGCTGCTACTGGTGACACTATTCTAATAGATAAAACTCCTGCTCCTCCTAGTATTGATGATGATGAGTTTATAGTATCAGAAAAACAGCCTCCCAAAACACACATTGAGTTAATTGATGTTGATAGAATTCCTAGTTCTACGGATGTTCCTGGTGAATCTACTATGATAGCAGCTGATAAATATTCTGGAAAAAAAGAGAAGAGAATTCATGAATTAAGACAAAGGCAGTAGGAGAGATTGGTAGCAGCTGGTGGTTTAGATTGGGTTCTACCACCTATTCACAAGATTCCAATTTAAAATAAAGACAAGATTGTGTGTAGGAATTTGCAAGAAAACAAGCCTTTGTATCTAAAAAGATTGACTGAACATGAACTATGCATGTGTGATTACTTGTTTTTTATGCACTATTTTGAGCAGCTTGAGTTAGATCCTACTGGTGAAGATGAGGGAGTTAAGAGGCGTAACAACAGTCTTTACGTAGAAGATATAGGTACTGTTATCTGTCAGTTTCGCACTGAAGATCCTGAACAGAGTGATCTTATTTTGGTAAAGGAGGAGTTCTGTTCCCTACGTCCGTCTGAGTGGGTTAATTCTGCTATTCATGATACTTGGGCTACTGTGCTCAACATTGAAGAGAGTAAAAAAACTGACAGAGGAGTTTTTCAATATAAAAGATTTGTTTTTCAAACTGAAGTTGCTGTAAGTTTTTTTTTTCTTTCTTTACTTCACTCAGAAATAAATTTTATTTATAATATACTGTATTTAATATATTTTTTTGTTTTGCAGAATCTTACATGGAGATACTTAGAAAAAAGGGCAACTTACAGAAAAGAAGTTGCTAACATAAAGAAAAAGGAGGCAATTTTGAAAACTTTGAAAAATAAATCAGTAGAGTATAATAAGTGTAAAGAGGAATTGGTAAAAATGGAGATGGATTGTCAATTGAATATGCATAAAGGTGAGGACATTTATGACAGCATTTGCAAGTGGGTTAAGCGTTTTCCTTCATTCAACATAGCCGAAGCCGATTTGGTAAATTTTTAACTTTATTTCTTCTTTTTATATTGTATATTCAGGAATAAGCTAAACCTAGTATGATACAAGCTTTTATTAGTCAGATTTTATATTATTTTAAATCAGGAATTATATTACTTTAATCAGGAAATAACTTATTTATGTTAGTAATTAAACTGTGTTAGTCAGGAAAAAAATTGTATAGTAAGGAATTAAATTGTTTTAGTCAGGAATAATATTGTTTTAGCCAGGAATAAAATTGTTTTAGTCAGGAAATAAATTGTGTTAGTCAGTAATAAAATTCTGTAAGTCAGGAATATAAATGTTTTACTTAGATATTATGATCTTTTAATCTGATATTTGCTTCTTTTAGTCAGTTAATAAATGTGTTACATATTGTGAAAATTATGTTTTATTTATTTTGTAGCTAATCTTTCCCATTGCGTTCGATAATCATCATACTCTGCTGGTTTTCAATTTCATTGATGGTATTGGTCCAAGAATAGATTGGATAAATAATAGGACTGATATTGATCGAGATAAATTAAATGAAATAGACAGAGTGCTGGTAAGATAATTTTAAATTAAATTTGTGAAAATTATACTTTTAGATGCTTTTAAATTTTAAAATTTATATATTTATAATTACAGATTAGAGATGTTGGTATTTTTTTGAAAAAGCATGAACATCGACATGGTGACACAAATTTGGAACAATTGGAATGGCATGAACCTAAGTTTACATGGCAAACAAGCCATGAAAATGGGGATTGTGGCCTTTTTGCATTAATGTGTATGAAAAATTACAATGGTATAGCTGGAGGTCTTGTTGACTTAAAATATGTAAGTATTTTTTCTCCTTTGTTTTTGGATTTATACCTATTGTTTTTTAGTGTTCTTATTTTGTTTTTTATATAAATTTGTAGAAGCAAAATCGGAAGATATATAGATGCCAACTTGCTTATTAGATGGCTACTAGAGAAGAGAATTTTTTGCGGAAGAAATTGTGGAATGATTGCATTGAGTTTTCAATTAACAAGCACAAAATTTGGAAAGCTCAACCTGCAAGAAAGAAGCTAGAGGCCCAATATGAGAAAGAAAAGGAAGCCATTCAAAAGGAAAAAGAGAGGCAGTGGAAGTTGATGCAAAAACAACTAGAAAAAGAGCAGCAACAATTGGAAATTGATCAACAGCTTCAGCAAAATGAAGAGGAAGATTAGATTTTTTTTTTAAACAATTAATCATACATGGACATATATATATATTTTTTTTTTTGTAGTTAGACATTAGTTTTCTTTTGTATAGATACTTATAAATTTGGTTTATATATGTATATATTTTCTATTAAATCAAATTTCTATTAATCATACATCTATATATTAGTCAGATATTAAAATACTTGTGTCAGAAATTAATATCAAATGTTAATTTTAAAAATTTTAAATATCAAACTTAAAATGAAGAATATGTTTGTCATAAATTAAATTACTCTTCTCAGGAATTATTTTATTTATGTTAGCAATTAAATTCTTTTGGTGAAGAATAAAATTTTGTTAGTCAGGAAAAAACTTGAGTTAATCAGGAATAAACTTCATTTAGACAGGAATAAACTTGAGTAAGTCAGGAATAAACTTGAGTTAATCAGGAATAAGATTTTTAAAGTCAGGAATGGGATTGTGTTAGTCAGTAATACAATTAGTTTACTTAAGAATAATATTCTAGAAGTCAAGAATTAACTCAGGAATTAAAACTCAGTTATCAGAAATTAAAATGTAATAGTCAGTAATAAAATTGAGTTATTAGATATTAAATCAGGCATGAAATTGTGTAAATCAGGATTAAAATTAGTTTAGTCAGGAATAAAATTTTGGATGTCAGGAATAAACTTCAGTTACTCAGCAATAAGACTTTTAAAGTCAGTAATAAAGTAAGGTTAGTCAGGAATAACATTGATCTAATCAGAAAATAAAATAATTTTTTTCAGAAGTAATCAAACCTTAAAATGCCAAAATATAGTATTGTTTAAAATTATCTTAAATAATAAAATAAAAAATTTGAAGATTGGCTTTATGATAGAAGAATGCAGCAATAGGGATGAATTAAATGAGTTGTGGATTAGGAGTTATTGTTCCAAACTCATTTGGATCTCTTGTTGATGTTCTTCTTATTTCAAAATGTCCTCTAATTCTTTTGTTCTTCTTTGGCCTTCCCTTTGTTTTTGGTCGTTTAGGATCTTTTACTGTATTTCTTCTCTCTTCTTCTTCATCAAGTTCACGAATTTTTTCTTCATTTGTTTGGAACACTTTCCTTACAGATTTGTACATTTGTTCCAAAGCATCATCACATATTTTTTATGCTTCTTCATTCCCTTGACATATTGTCACAAGGTTGTAAAAATTCTTTGTTATTGATTGCCTCCAAGGAGTGTTTATTAATGAATGATTTGTAGTTGAATTTCCTAACCAAAAAAAAAAAAAAAAACAGATTACTACATTTTTGTAATAAAAAAAATTTTACTCAAGAATAATGTTATAATTTTCTGCTAAAACAATATTATAGTATCAGAAAAGTCATCAATAAGCTATGCCATGATATTTTTTTTTCTGTTTGAGTCATATGTTTTCTGACAAAATTTATTGCATTTCTTAAAAAAGTCATACAAAATTTAATAAAGTCATGAAAAAGTTCTATAAATCTGAAAAGTAATTTATTGCATCATTGAAAAGCCATTCTAATCTATAAAAAGTAATTTATTGCATCATTAAAAAGTCATTTAAATTTTACTGAGATTATAATTTTTTCTGTTAAATTACAGATTAATTATTGTTGTTCATACATAAATCTTCTCTATTTAAAGTCTGTTCTAAATCAAGTTTTTTCTATTAAAAGAGTTATATTAATATATACATTGTTTCTATAAAAGTTACAGTTTTGTAACAATAAGTTATATTTTCTTCATCTAATCAAGAGTTCTAACATAATGGCTGATTTCTACGCAAATAAAGAAAAATGCACTATTACTTTCAAGACAATTCATCGCCTTAGTATGGTAAATATATTTTACATTAAGTTTTAAATTTATAAATTTGTTTTGTGTTTTAGTAAAAACTTAATGATTTCATTTTTTTTTTAATTTCAGCCACTTCCTGCAGAATGGAAGTTATTTCTTCTAAAATTCAGGCATCATGTTAGAGTCTATGCTGGAAATAATGGCAGAGAAGATAGATTTTGGGAAGTAAGAGTCATAAGCATACCACAAGATACAGGGTATGGTGGTATGTTGGTTGATCGTGAATGGGAAAACTTTGTAGCTACAAACAACATAGTTCCTGGAGACAGACTTGATATTTACCATGATCGTGATACCATTTACATTAGAATTTTTAATGCTGATGGTACTGAAAAGCTTCCTAATGAAGCAGAAAATGGTAGCAATGTTTAAGTTTTTTAATATTAAGATTATGTTTGTAATAAATCTGATTTTATATCAAAAATAATAATATCTGTATCAGATATTAAACTATGATTATCAGAAATAATAATATTTGAATCTGATTATAATATGTTGTTCATTGTAAATTATCTTCATGAATTAGATTATTTTTGTCATTTATTAGATTTGTTTTGTTATGAATTAAACTCTGTATGTCAGATATTAAAATATTTTAATCAGGAATTAAGCTGAATATTTTAGGAATTTGATTGTATATTTCAGGAAAAAAATTGTTTCAATCAGAAATTAGATTGAATATATCAGGAATAAGATTATCTAGGACAGGTATTATACTATTTAAGTCAGCTGTTGCATTTCTATGTCAGGAAATTATTTATGTTAGTAATTAAAATATTTAGTTCAGGAATAAAGATATTTTTATTTTATACTAAATAAGAAAGTAAAAAATTTTAAAATAACAAAGTATGTACGTACCTGATTCATTCTCATCCCATATCCTTGATTTAGCAAGCTTGGTCCAACGTTTCAGAATGTATCTCTCTGGTATAGAATGTATGTTGTACATTTGCATTATCTTGATAATGTGAAAGCACAACAATCCAGTCTCTGTGAAGCACATACAAGAACACATAAATTCATTGTTTTGACAGTGATATATGACTTGATAGGTGTGCATATAATCTTCATCAAGAGAAACATCAAAGAATTTGACGTATTGCATTGAAGTTGGCTTTTCCTTTGCATATGCTCCTAGGCTGGTCTAAAACTCCAACTTAAAATCCTTGTATAAGTTCAGAGTATAAACTTCAGCAGCGCGTTTCAAGATTTTTGTTTTTGTTTTTGGTTTCTCAGTAGTACATCTGAAGTTGCCACTCTTTTTAGTGCTTCTCCATCTTCTAACAGTAGCTTCAAATATATGGAAGAACTCCAAAAGTTTAGTGGTTCTGTTAGCCTTAAATGAAATTGCTCTGTTTGTTAATTCTACTCTTTGAGATGAAAGGATTCCCGCAGAGAAAATATCCTTGCTCAAAGCAGTGCACCATTTTTCTCGTAGCCCGAACAACCTATCAAACCACTCTTTTTTTTCTAATCTATATTTTTGAACCATCTTGTTTTAGACATCTTCGAATTCTGATTCTGAATCACACCCACTTAAGCACTTGTGAAACATATTCTTGAATTCAGGGTTGTTTTTTAAAGTTCCAAAGTGTGATACAAAATTCTTTTGCAAATGCCATAGACATAGCCTATGTCTTGAATTTGGATAAACCTGTAACAATCAAATAATTTCATTTTATAGTCAGATATTAGAAAAATAATGGAAGAAATTAATAAAATTTTGTCAGGAATTAAAGAGTCAACGTTAGATATTATATAACTCAAGTTAGTTATTAATCTATTTTTGTCAGGCATAACAATTTACTATTCAGGAATTAAAGTATTTTAATCACATATTAAACAAATAATGTCAATTATATATTTATTTTCTTCAACAATTATAGAAGAATTTGATATATTTTTATCAGTGTTTAGATTATATTTATCAGGAATTACATGATATTCATTAGGAATTATATAGTCAGATATTAGGTATATAATGGCAGTAATAAATAAATTTTTGTCAGGCATAACAATTTATTAGTCAGGAAATAGAGTTGTTTAATCAGATATTAGATAAACTAAATCAAGTATTGTAGGATTTTTTTTCAGGGAAAACATTTTTAATACAGAAATTAGCACATTTTGTTCATATATTAGACAACTTATATCAAGCAAAAATTTACTAGTGTTTGACTTTACTTAGAGTTGCTCTCAGTACTTTGTGGTTTGGATAAAGATATTCAAAATAAAGATATTTAACATGAAGATATTTACCAACTCTTTTGGATAAAGATGACAAAAATGTAAAAATAAGAATTATTCGTAGAAAATTTTTCTAAAAGTAAATTATTTTTTTAATCTCTTATATTTGTCTATAAAACCAAGAATTGGTCATACATTTTGCATGTTTGTGCTCCTGTATATTCTCTCTCCTAAAACATACATTTTTTCTTTTTTCCTCAATTATGGAAAACAATTCTCAGTCTTCTACTTCATCAAACGACCCAGAAGAAAATGTTTTTGATAATTTTGAAAAGAGATTAAATTATCTACTTGAGAGAAGAGACAGAGTGAAGAATGGGTTGATGAAGCTGTATGAAAATTTTGAGAAGAACAAAATCGAAGAACTGAGTAAGAGAAAGAGGGTTAAAGAAAAATTCCAGGAAGAACAAAACAAAAAAAAGAAAGAAGACGATCAACAAAAGAAGAAACAAGAAGAAGAAAAAGAAGATCAAATGAAAAAACAAGTTTAAAATCTTTAAAAGATGATTAAGATTCTAGGGTTTTGTTTTTTTGTTTTTTTATTTTATTTTGATATATTATATTTTTCAAAATAGTATATGAAATCAAGTATATTTCAGTAATGTACTTTGATTTTATTTTGGTTTCTCATGTATTGCCTTTATTTTTTTTAGTAAAATACTTGTTGGACAAATATTAGTATATATAAATTTTCATATAATAGGTTATTTTTTTCAATAATTTTAATATTATTACGTTGGAAAATAAAAAGCCAGGAAATGATGTATTGATTGATTTAAAATTAAATTACTTTGGAAAATGCACAGTAAAAACTGATATAAATAAAGTATTTTAAAGTCATACTCCCAAAAAAACATCATATTCCCAAAAAAATCTATATACCCTTTCATATTTCTCTTCTGTTTGTTAAAAAAACCATTCATTTCTAGTTTATCAATTTTGTTAAATTTTATTCAGATATTAGATTAATAATGTCAATTATAATAATATAGGTATTTACTTGTTAGTAAAAATTTATATATTTAGTCACATAATAGATTTAAATTTTCATATAACGGTTTAAATTTATCAGAAAATAGAATTATAAACAGTAATTGTATAACAATATTTTATGTTAGGACTGAGTATTATTACGTGGGCAGATAAAAAGTCAGGAAATGATGAATTAAATGATTTAGAATTTAATTTCTTGGGAAAACGCGCAGTGAAAACTGATATAAATAAAGTATTTCAAACATCATACTTTAAAAAAAAATCTATACACCCTTTCATATATCTCTTCTGTGTGTTAAAAACAACAATCCATTTCCAGTTTTTCAACAAAGAATATTTATCAGTTTTGTTCAATTTTTATTCGAATTCAAGTATATTGTAAGATTTGTAACGTAGTATTTCAAATGGATCCAATAGACGACCCTCATTACATGGCTGCTCTAGAGGATGCCCCACATGCATTATTTGTTCCTGAAATCTTATGCATGTATATTTTTCCTAAATGCACCCCTCGTGCGCAAGCGATGTGTAATTGTGTTTGTAGGCATTGGAATGAATTATGGTACTTAAATACTTGGATTCCTCATATAGTTAGATATAGGCAAGCCAGTAAAAGGTGGTGGCTTGCAACTGATATTATGAGGCATAATGGATATGGCTTTTGTTTCGGGGTTTTCTGATGTCCTGCGGGAGAGTTACAATTCCGAGACTGGAACCGGACGCCTGTACCTGCAAAATAACGGAGACTCCTGAGAGCTCCGCCTCCAACGGTCAAGTTAGTACCTGATTAAGGAGTAATTAATACGGAAATTAAAGTAATAAGATCTCTCTAGGTGAGAGTGTTTAATGTTGGTAATCTGCGTTGTTAGTGAGGTTAGCCGGTTATTAGTGTCTTCCGTAACGTTTCTGTTCTGTTCCGTTCTTCAGGTGAGATTAATTGCTTGATCCCCTTTAATGAGGATTAATTAAGTATTTATAGTCTTGAGAAGCGTGCCACTCTCTAGGTTTAAGGTTAACCTAGGGCTGACCGGGCCTCTAGACAGGATTGGGCCTTGTTGGCCGGTTTTCCCATTTGGCATGGGTGGACACGTGGCGTGTCTCAATTGGTCCGTAGAGGACGTATCTGTGATTGACACGTGGCAGGCTCCTATTGGCCTTCGTGAAGGACACGTGGCGGAACCTGGTTGGTCCACTTGTCAAACGGTGATTGGAGGATAAAAATCCCCTAATCATTTGCCCCTCACAGGTGGCGCGTGACTGGTCACGTGTCACCTGTGACAGGTGTCGCACGGTGACAGGCGACGGCCTGCTACAGGTGTCACCTTGCAAATGGCCGAGAGATTTTCCCGCCCAAATTTTGAATTTGGAAGCGACCCTTCGCCTTCTCACTTTGCCTATATAAGGAAGTGCTGACTTCGGTCATTTTCACATTTGAGAACTTTGCGAGAACATTCGGACCCCTGAACTTGCTCTGACATTTCGGACCTTTTCTGCCTACCGCCTGTTCTGACAAGCCGACTGCACCGGATTTCCAGAACTTCATCAACCGTCACTCGTTCAGGTAACTCAGTTCTCTTACTCTTAATTTTCTTTTTGTTTTTTGAAATGGCACCACGGAAGCACACGACACGACCTAAGTTAGTGATCAGCCGGTCACCGGGGACGGCTGAATCTAGGACTAGGAGTGCCGCCTGCCCTTTTCTGGACCCATCTTTGCCCTTTATATAAAGTCCGACTGTATCTGTGTCTATGCAGAACGTGATGGCCAGAACAAAAAAGACTGCTATGATCTCAAACTCAGACGGCTCCTCCCAAAGGGTGCTCATTAGTGAAACATCTGACCAAGCGCCAGATGTAGAAGTGAAACGAGGCGGCTGCCAAGCCGACAGTTCTGAGAGAGGGGTCAAGGTGGTCCCTTCCCATTTTACCGTTGATATGTCTAATTTTCCTCCTGCTCCTTCTAAGGGAGAGGAGGCGGGCCCCTCTGGGAGAAGGGAGGAGTCGTCCTCTTCGGACTCGTCAGAGGACGAGTCCGAGTCCAGCTCTTCTGGCCACACTTCTCCAGGCTCAGAAGAAAGAAACAGCCGCCTACAAGAGGCGAGGCTTTCTCATGCAGTTGAGAAGGGGGACAATTGGGCGGAGCCGTCCGCCTCTTACAGAGAGGAAAACACCCCCTACTACTGCATGGTACCCCGGGGCCGGATCGCAACCATGCAAGACAAAGTGGAGAGCTTTATTGCTAACCACAGAATGGGCCCGGAATTTTTACTGTTCGTGCCGGATCCAGAAGACACTGTCGTCTGGCCGGCTGGTACCAGCTATGATGACGGCTGCTTTGGCTGCTATGTGGCGGCCATCAAAGCTGGACTGCGCTTCCCATTACATCCGACTGTTCAGCGGATTTTAGATGGGTATGATTTGGGGTTATGGCAGTTAGCCCCCAATTCTTGGGTAAACGTACTCGGCTATGTGGCCGGGTGCGAAATGTACGGGGTGGAGCCAAGCTTTGAGGCTTTCGCCCACATGAACTATCTCAGCCGGACCCCTAAGTCGGGAGGTACCGGCTGGTATCAATTAACAAGCCATAGGGGCTACCTCATGACGAGAGGTAAGGCGAACAAATGGAAGGATTGGCGGAACACCTTCCTTATCATCGAGGGTTCAGACACGGAGCTGAACCAACGCTTTAACAAGTGGAATAGGGATCCGCCTCTTCTCGCAGGCGGCCGCAGCATGCCACCTGTTCCCCC